TGAATTTGCATATTTCAAGTTTTCAGTAGAAACAGCAAAACAGTTCTATTTAAACAGGCTTAGCAACAGTAATTTCTGATAGCAAATAACTGCAATCTGATCTTTTACAGTTTCTCTTCTCTTTTTTCAAGTGTAATTGTCAGACACTTCCAATGAGGGATGCATCTCTTCTAAATTGTTCTCCTGCCCTGAAAAGTGATTTGGTAAAAATGGCACTGGGGGCTCCAGATTCATTATCTCACTGATTTTCCTACCCAATGAGCTCAGTTTGCAAGTAAATTTCTAACTGCCAGCTGCACAAACTCAGCCTGAGTCCTGGATCCCTTCCATCTCATGCATCACCACAAGTAATAAATATCCCGTATGCCAGAGTATGCCCTCTATGGCATCTGTGCAGTCCCAGTGCCATCCGTGAATTTGCACAGGTGTTGCTGGGGGCAGACGTTCAGCTCAATTGGGTTACGCACAAGTGGCTGAGGAAGCGATCTGTCAGACAGAACTGCTCCTGCCGCAGTGATCTGTGGGATGAGAGGGACCCAGTCTGACTCGCAGAGCCTGGGAGATGGATTAGTCTCACAAATAAGGAATTATCACGTCTTGAAAGCACAACCCTAAAGGAGTCGCAGTGAACATGGAATATCCCAGCACTATTTGCTGTGCCATTTCTTAGAGCCTGAATGGTCCTATAGCATACGTAATACTCAAACTTTTTTTATTTTTATTTTTTTTTTAATAGGTCGCATTCGGAGATGAGGATGACATTATGAAAAGCGCTAATATGTTTTAAAATATCTCCCCGTTTAAGATCAACGGGCTGTGAAGAAACGGCCCATCCATGTCGCCCCTGAGGAACAGCACTGTTTCCCAACAGCACTGTTTCCCAACCGTGTTTTAGCAGATGATTGTCGAACAACAGCCTACTTTAGTATGCTAGACTCTAACACCCTGCTTCAATCCCAGCCCTATACAACTTATTCGGTGAGAATGTGGTTGCTAACTGCTGAATTTGTAGCTCCTGGATTGTTTCAGCTTGAATACAAAACACACAATTTCCTTCCCGGGATATCTTTTGTTGATTATGCTTTAAAAACAATGGTCGAAGTGGAAGGCCAGCTCCTGTGCTCTGCACCAGCCTGCCAGGGAACCATCCTCACCACAGGTCTCTGCTGCAAGTGCTTTTGGCAAAATAAACATTTCAGCACACACACAAAAAATCAAGGCTAAGTATGTCTGGATACCTTAATCTGTACTTAGGTGTTAATATAAATTGAGTTTATTTAGATTTTGACCGGGCTGGTTTAGTAATCTCAGATGATCACTCCGTTTCAGTTAAGTGAGTACACTTCTCCCCTCTTTCTGAAACTCGGCTGTTACACCGGGCAGTTCTGGGTGACTACATCCCGTTATTTTCAAAGCAAAGGCTTTATGGAAACCACAGTCCTGCACAATTTCAGTTCCAGGAGCATTGGGGTAGCAGCTGAAAGGGCAGGAAAGGATGTCATCTCAGGTGTAACACCTCTGCTCAGAATTCCTCACTTTTCTCATAAAGGCAAAACTCTTGACATTGTAATTCTGTTTTCCTGCACCCTGAATCTACAGTTTGTGATTCCACCCACTTCCCTCACTTTGCAGAAAGCGACTCCGGTTTTTTCACACTTTCCCCAAAGTCATCTTGGGTTCCCCAGACAAAAACCTACAGCACATTTCAAAATAGGCATGAAATAAAAAGTGCTGCATCCATAAGTGCTATTTGTCTTCAGTCACAGTACAGTAAAAATCTTGGCTTTTTCATTTACTCTCCTCATTTGGTTGTCAGAGCCTTGAACAGTGTAAAGTCTCATAGACCTGTAAAGCCTCAGTCACCTGTCTCATAGAAACATTAATCCCATCTCTTTTTCAAGCATCAGTTGGGGCAGAGGTAAGCACATGAGACCACATTCAAAAGGCCTATGCATCTGCACAATGTATTTTCTTTTGCCCATCTTCCAACTTTCAGATGCACATTGTCAACTTCTACTCTGAGAGACCTCAGTGCTTTTATTGACATGATACACTCTCACTGTTCTACACTTGGGCTAACACGTCTTCTCAAAATGGAGTACTAGTAAGTCCAGTGTGGACACAAATTTTCAAACCAGCCTCCATCCAAGGGGCAGGCAGTAAGCGTCATAATGTGTCCTCTTATACCTCTTTTCTCCCACCTTCTGGTGTAGCCCAGCCTTCCACTGACCAAAAAAAAAAAAAAAAAAAAAAAAAAAAAAAAAAAAAAGGAAGATGATTATTCATTTGAATTTCAAAAGAACGAGTAGTGGGGTGTTAACAGCTCCATCCCAACAGCCCAACAGGGAAATACACGTATACACTTACTGAACTGTTTTTGGAGTAGAAATCATTTAAATCATTTCATTTTAACAGTAGTATCTACTAATTTGTGTACATCTATTAACTAGATTTCTGAAGTCAAGATATGTTTTTCTTGAGGGTGGCTGTCATTTATCGGTCTGCTTTCAGCTACATTATCTTCCCAGTACTATCCTTCAAAATAAAACAAACAGAAAATCAGAAAATAACACTAACAAGCATGAGGAAACTGTAATGCTATTCATATTTAAAAATTGCTTTGAGGAAAAACTGAAATGCTGCCAACATGCTTCAGAATATGAGATATACTAGAAAAAGAGAAAAATGGGATTTATGGAAGTTATATGAAGTCCATGGTATTGATATGCTTCCTTATAGGGACACAAATGAAGAAGAAGAAACATCCCAGACAAAGTCCTGTAATGACATTATGAAGGAGATGGGACTGCCCTGGATTCAATCCACACTGAAGCTTTATTAAAAGTGATCTCTCCTCATCTTAGTGCGTTAAATGTCAGATTGTGTCACCCTGGAGGAAGGAGTCCTTACCATCTAAGTGAATCTTATCGTTATTGATAACACTATCACAAGTCTTATTAATATTGACTACATAGCTTCCATAGGAATTGGTTGAATTTTTTTTTCTAAAATAGTTCACAGTCCTCAGAAAGTGCTAGTTTGACAAAAAAAAAAAAAAAAAAAAAAAAAAAAAAAAAAAAAAAAAAGCAGAATTTGGTGAAAATATATTGTTTTTATTCTTTTCTCGGGGAATTAAGGGTGCATTCCACTTTCATCAGCTCAATTTTTACACAATTAAATGACATAATGAAGTCTCACCCATAGGGTGGGAAACAACAACAAGTTAAAATCTTCTGGTGTGTTTCATTTTGCAAACCTACACCAAAGTCTCCTTTTATTTCTAATGGGATTTACAGCACATGTAAATCCATGGAAATTCATTGATAGTCTGAATTGGCATTTACAGAAAAAAAACACTACATATGATTATTTAAGACTCTTGGTACCCCAGTAACATTTAAGAAACAGCATCTCAGCAGCAGAGAGCTGTCCTCCCTGGAGGCAGGCAGGCAGCTACGTGTCTCCTGGGACCTTTGCCTACACCATCATTTGAGAAGCCTGTTCTTACTCTGAAGCTCCTGTCACACCGATGGCCGTAAAATGTGCCTCATCCGAGAAAGTCCTCACCTGGACGGGTGGAAGGTGCCAAACTCGGCAGAAATGCCCTGCCATGCACTGCCAGCAGCCCTCCCAGATGGGCCACACCTGCACCATGAACCCAAGCACTCCCAAACGTGCTGCACCCTCTCCTCACATGGCATCCCTAAGTAATAAAATCTCACAACAGGCTGAGAGTCCTGCTACACAGATTTTTCCATTTTACCTCCTACATCCCTGAGGATAAGCATTATTACAGGGCTGCATTGTTACACTAGCTGCAGTCACAAGAGAGGTGGCAGCAAGACTCAGAGGAGAAATGTTTCCTGGGTGTCCTCATGGTGAGGTAGAGCAGTATTTTTCATAGCCATCTTTCGAAGGAACCTTCTTGAATGATGCCCTTCCCTCAGCGGGGAAGTGACACGACACCGTGTATCTGCCTCTTAAGACATAGTAACCCCGATATATCCACAAAGATAAAAGGCGAAGGATCCCTTTGTCCTTCCTGTGACCGCACCAGTCACACCACAGCCCGGTGATATCACGGTCACATCATCCAAATACAGTCATTTCGTTGTGGTTTGAGGAAAACGCACCGCTATGCTAATTGAAGGCTGATTTAGCACAGGGCTGCAGCTCCGTTAGTAGCAGCCCGGTGCGTGCTCCGAGCAGGGCCCGTCCCGTGCCCGCCAACACGCCTGCGCCCGGCCAGCAGCCCTCACAGAACTTACTAAACTTCTGCCTTGCTGATAACCGCGAGCGGTAGCTTGGAAAACGCAACGGGACCCGCAGCGCAGGACGCAAACCCGTTTCCATCACACGTTTTGCAAAGCGAGATGCCCACAGACGAGCACACCGCCCGCTCTGGATCTCACAGGTTCGGTGGTGGAACTGCAGAGAGGGAGCCGGGGGCGGGTCCGGTCCCTGGGGGCCAGGGGTGGGGGGCGGGCGGCGGACCCCAGCCGGCAGGCGGGAGGTAGGGCGGCAGCAGAGCGATGCAACGGCTGCGGAGCTACAGCTCCCCCTGCCGCCGCCGCCGCGTGGGGGCTCCGCAGCTTCCTGAGGGGAGCCGCCACCGCCGCCGTCGCCATCCCTTCCCTGCGGGACGGCAACCGGCAGCTGAAGGCCGAGGGCAGCGGGCGCGGCCCCCCGGGGTTGGGGGAGCAGGAAGGGGCCGGGGGGAGAGCGATGAAGCCGGGAGCCGGGCCCCTTCCCCCACCGCCCCCCACACAGGGGGGTGTGTCAGCGCGGCGAGAGAGGGGGATGGGGAGGAGGGGAGCTGATAAAGGCGGTGGGCTGGGCGACGGGCGGGGCCACGCGCAACCATTGGCCGCTGCCGGGAGTGATGTCACCCATATGAAACGCTGATAACGCGTCGGGTGCGGAGCCGCGAGTTTTGCAGAAGGGGCAGCGCGCGCGGCGGGGCTAGGCGGGCCGGCGGCGAGGCCGGGGCAGAGCGCGGCGCCCAGCACAGCCCAGCCGCGCCCAGCCCCAGCCCGGCCGTGCCGAGCCGTGCTGCGCTGCGGGCGGCGGTCCACCGGCCGGCGGTACGGTACAGCGCAGCGCCCGGCTCGCAGGGCAAGGTGCGGCGGTGGGAGGGGGCGGCGGTCGGCGCGGAGCGGAGCGCCGCGGGGGAGCCCAGCGATGGTGCAGCAGGCGGAGAGCGCGGAGAGCGAGAGCAACCTGCCCCGGGAGGCGATGGACACCGAGGAGGGCGAGTTCATGGCTTGCAGCCCGGTGGCTCTGGACGAGAGCGATCCGGACTGGTGCAAAACGGCGTCGGGGCACATCAAGCGACCGATGAACGCTTTCATGGTGTGGTCTAAGATCGAGAGGAGAAAAATCATGGAGCAGTCGCCGGACATGCACAACGCGGAGATCTCCAAGCGCTTGGGCAAACGGTGGAAAATGCTGAAGGACAGCGAGAAGATCCCCTTCATCCGGGAGGCGGAGAGGCTGCGGCTCAAGCACATGGCCGATTACCCCGACTACAAGTACCGACCCAGGAAAAAGCCCAAAATGGACCCCTCGGCCAAGCCCAACGCCGGCCAGAGCCCCGAGAAGAACGCTCCCGGCGGCGGCAGCAAGAGCGCCAAGAGCTCGGGCAAGAAGTGCAGCAAGCTGAAGGCCGCCGCCGCCTCGCCCCCCAAGCCCGGCGCCAAAGCCGCATCGCACGGGGACTACGCGGGGGACGAGTACGTCTTCGGCGCGTTGAAAGTCAGCAGCAAGGCGGTCAAGTGCGTCTTCGTGGACGAGGAGGAGGAGGACGAGGAGGACGAGGACGAGCTGCAGCTGCGGATCAAGCAGGAGGCGGACGACGAGGAGGAGGACGAGGAGCCGGGCCCGCAGCAATTACGGCGGTACAACGTGGCCAAAGTGCCGGCCAGCCCCACCTTAAGCTCCTCGGCGGAGTCCACCGAGGGGGCGAGCCTCTACGAGGAGGTGCGGGGCGCGGCGGGCGGCGGCAGACTCTACTACAGCTTCAAGAACATCACCAAGCAGGGCCCGCCGCCGCCGCAGCCGCCCGCCGGCCTCTCGCCCGCCTCGTCCCGCTCCATCTCCACCTCGTCGGCCGGCAGCGAGGAGGCGGACGACCTCCTGTTCGACCTCAGCCTCAACTTCTCGCAGCACGGCCACGCCGCCGCCGAGCTGGGGGCGGGGGCCGCCGCCGGTAACCTCTCCCTCTCGCTGGTGGACAAGGATCTGGACTCGTTCAGCGAGGGCAGCCTCGGTTCCCACTTCGAGTTCCCCGACTACTGCACCCCGGAGCTGAGCGAGATGATCGCGGGCGACTGGCTGGAAGCCAACTTCTCCGACCTGGTGTTCACGTACTGAGCGGGCGGAGGCGGCGACGGGAGCGGCGGACGCCGGCGGTGGTGATGGTGATGATGATGATGATGCTTAAAAAAAAAAAAAAAAGAAAGTCTTCTTAAAAAAAAAAAAAATCCTGATGTTAGTTCCGAGCCCGGGAGTTGTGATTTTTTTTTTTTAATTTTTAATTTTGTGTGTTTTTTTTTTAATTTTTTTTTTTGTTACATTTGGTGATCACAACAACAACAGCAAAGGCAAATGGGACTGGGGGAAAAATGCTACAGAAGGCGCTGTTCGAAGCTTGGCGGTCTCTGATGGAAGGCTGGAAGATGGTCTGCGAAGAAGTCTTTTGGCAGCACAACTGTTACTCAAGGGGGTTTGTGGATTTTTTTTTTTTTCCCGTGAGAGATCTTAAAGAACTGTTCTGATTTTTTTTTTTTAATTATTTTTTATTTTTTCCGAAAGGGACCATTGCAACTCTTTTTTTTGGAGGGAGAAAACTGATGTCTTCTATGCATCCGATTCTTAACAAAGCTGCAGGGAGCTTGAAAAAATGCAGACTGTACAAACGCTTACAAATAACTGAACTGACTTAAGATCAGAGTTTACTTTTCAGATCAAATTGTTTATGGTTTTACAAATGTGATTTCTACTTGCCAACTTTTTTTTTTGTAACTTGTTCCCTTATACCTCCTTGATTGAATACCAGACAGCCTAGACCTCAGTACAAAAAGGTATTGAAACATTTTTGATACATAACAGACCTCAGTCTTTTTTAAAAATTAATATATTTTCAGGCGTATTTTTGTACAGTGAAAAGGGAACATTCTTGCTGTGTTTTTTCAGTAAGACTTTTCAGGCACTTCTTCCCTTTTATTTTCTTTTTTTTCCTCTGTTTTTAGCATGCAAGTTTGTTGGTACGTTACGTCCTGGTTTTAAAAGGATTAAAATTTAAAAAAAAAAAAATAATCCTTGCATCTAAAGGCCTTGTGGTTTAAAAAAAAAGAAAAAGAAAAAAAAAAAAAGAAAAGAAACAAACACTTTTTTTTGTACAGCTATAGTTCAGATTTGTTCAATATTTGTAGGTAAAGATTTATTGAAAATGGTGATATAGACCTCAGAGCTGTTATCTTAGTTTAAAAGATTGTATATGTACTGTACTATAGTAGGACTTTATGTATCTCATACGCTGTGATATGTGGATGGGGCCCCAGATGGAAGGTATGAAACTGGATTCTCGATTTTAGCAAAAAAAGAAAAAAAAAGGCACATAGTTAAAAAAAAAAAAAAGTTTCTCATGTTGTGCAATATAATCTAAAGTACAGACCATCTGCATATTTTGTAGCAAATGATGACAAAAGCAGACTTGTGCACTGTCAACATCATAGCCTGTTTTTTTTTTTTTAAATGCTGAAAGTCTGTATCTTGACAATTTTAATAAATCAGCTGGAACTGATAGAAACTCGTATCGCTATTAGTGTCTGTAGAATAACGCTGGAGATGCCGTGATGTCACCCCTCGCCTCGGAGGAGCGGTAGCTGCAGGCTGTTGTGCATGACCCTAGCTAGGGGGAAGGAAAGAAGGACTCGGTGCCTTCAGCATTTTTTTCCCCCACCCCTTTCCCTCCGCGCTCCCCTCGGGCAGGGCCGGGATGTGCCGGTGCGGAGCGGCCGTGGGTTCGCCCCGCTCCGTGCCGGCTCCCCACCGCTGTCCAGGGAGCGGCCCGGCCCTCCCCGCATCCCATTGCCGGGGGCACGGCGGGGCCCGCTCCCCACCCCAGAGCGGCTCCCCCTTTCTGTGTTTTTTTTCCCCTTCTCGCCGTTTTGCTGAGCCGTGCCGCAGGGATGCTCCGTGCCCACATCTCTGTCTTCGGGCAGCGCTCAGCACGCGGAGCCCCTCCGGAGGGGCGTGGGAAGGAAAGGGGGTACGAGCTTCTGCTGTAGGCGAGCAGACTTCGGCAGTGTGCGCTTCTGGATATCTTTTTTTAATTATTATTATTTTTTTTTTTTCTCCTTAGGAGCCATCAGATTTCAATTGCCCTTTCTGATGGCAGCAAACAGATTCACGAGGTGGAAGTTTGTTTCTTGAGTAGTTTACTTTTTATCTGATAGGCATTGCTATTTTTATTTTTCTCCACTTATTACTGATCCAGCTGTTTACAGGGACAATTCACTGTGCTGGTATTTTGGTGGCAACCACTGCTACAGGCTTTCAGACTTGCTGAAATGAAAATCCTGCATACACATTTGTAAGGCATAATAAAACATAACATTGAAACCTGCATGCATGTTATGTTTAATCAAGGACAACTCTTAGGCATTTAAGTGGTGAGATATCTTACTTTAGGTTAGTTAAATGAACTGGTAGTAAAATGATTAATATAATCTGATCTTTCTAATAATAATAATAAAACACTCATGATTCTAAATAAAAGTTGTTTGGCCTAAATCTTTGCTATCAGGAAAAAAAAAAGAAAAAAAAAGATATAGCATATCTGGGAACTCAAATTTATGTCTTGCATTGTGATAATTCTTTATGAGAAACTGTGTTTTAAAACAAACAAAATTACAATATTCAAGATATCCTTGGCAATGGATAGTCCTCAATAAAACAGAGTTTCTTGAATTTTCAGTTTTTGGTCTCAACTGATTAGTGTGTTCTCCATGTAATTAACTTAGAAATCAGATTGAAAACAAATGACATTTATCTCTTCTAAGGCAAAAGAGTGAAAGAAAATAGATGCGCTGAAGTGCTGTAACCTAGCCATTCACTACCCTGCTATTGAAGACCCCTTCTTGGGCTAGGGCGATGGAGTAAGTTGATCAGGTTCTAAGTCTTAATACTGAGCCAAAATTCTCTTAGTAATTCTTCAAGCTATCATGAGAACATGGGGACTTTCTCTTCTGGCCCCTTTCTTCTGATATGCATCCTTGTTTGTTAAAGTAATAATAGGCAGTGTCATTAAGCATTTGTGCTTTACAGATGTTCAATGAGTTATGAATGGTTATGGTCAAATATGGGCTGGATTTGGTTTGCATTGTAATAAGGTCTGTGTCTCAGCCTGCAGGAGTTTTGACTTGCATATATTTTTGGAAGATGTTTTTTTGAAACTACCATTTAAGATCTTAGTCAATGATAACTAATGTAAAGGGTCCAAGTGTAGAGCAGTCAGGCATATTTTAAAAGAGCAATGGGTCTACTATAGTCAAAAAGTGTAACACCCACACAGAAGTATATCTTTTCTTTCTTCTGGTTGGGAATATACAATTCTTTATCACAGGAATATTTTGGGTGAAGGTGTATAATGCAGGGAGATACTTTTTGTCTGGACAGTTTGACTTTCATTTACTGCGGAGTTTACTGTTGCCTATTGCTCAAGAACAATTTGGTGGTGGTGTTTTTAAGCCACCACGCTGTTAGGGCTGAATTGTGATGCTGTTGGATGCCTAAGCTCCTGCTGATTTCAATGAGAGTAAGATACAATCTTCTAATCAGGAAAAATAGCATCTGCTATTACTCTCATATTTTTGCTTTTGTCATTTCTAGTAATATTCCTATCTCCAGCTCCTTTTCCATTTTTAGTGCACGTAGAAATCTTTGTTGACCTGCTAGAGCAGTCCTGTTGTTTAATATTTCCCGTGGCATTTTTTTTCCACATTTTTTTGCATTTGTCTCCATACAATGCTATTCTAAGTGTAATAAGACTTAGTGGTAAGAGGGAGAGAAATGAGGTGTGGTTTTGGTTTTTTTTTTCTTTTAGTGTGGAAAGACAGTTTGCTTTGTAACAGTAAGGATGTCAACTCAATGTAAAACTTAATCAAATATGGTGATTCTTTTTAATTTCACGATGAGCATCTATGTTACCATTTTCCCCCTTTGGTTGTTTTACTCCCTCCCTCTCTCTTTTACAAGAAATACACCTATGAAATACCTTCAATCCTTTAGGTGCAGTCTTTTATAAATGTGGTAGGAAGACTCATCCCAAGCATCATGGTGCTACATGCTCTCTAGGCATTTACTGTCATTTAGATTAAACTTCTCCAAGTCTATTGAATGTGATTTGCATGCTTGCAGTCTGATCCTTCACTCATGCCTGTTTTAGGAAAGTGCAACTCTGGTGTTACAGTGAGGTACAACTGATGTGGGGTCAAAGTCAGGGCCTTATATGCTTTAAGTGTTTTGATATTCAACACAGCTCATTACGTTACTTGATACATCTTCACAGTTGCTGCCTAGTAAGGCCTTAAACCTGCACTGTTGTTTTTTTGTTTTTGGGTTTGTTTTTTTTTTTTTTGAAAAAAATTCTCATTGAGCTTAATGGGAGTTTTTGCCTCAAGGGCTGCTGGCAGGATAGGTGTCTTAGTCTTCATAGCCTTCATTCATATGCATGGCCAGAACAAACAAAAAAAAAAAAAAAAAGGAAAAAAAAAGCAACAACAACAAAAAAAACAACAACAAAAAGCAAAACAAAAACATAAAACCAACAAAGACTTAATTCAATGAGTTGCCTTACATTCCCCCTCCTGTACGGTTGTATTTGGTTTGGTTCCTTCTCCCTCACCCACATCGAAGGCTGTGATTGTTTTTGTTTTTCTTAATTTTTTTGCACACTACCTATACCAATTAACTGCCTAATTAGTTTTATCTTCTCTACATGGATGCAGTGAATTTGTAAGAGAATTTCACAAGCAAGTAGTTTTTTAGTGAGTTTAAAGTAAATAGAGTTTTAAAGACCTATTTTTATATTCAATATAAAGCACAAATGTGCAGAAAGTGTAGAATGACTTACAAAAAGGGAAACAAAAGTTCGTAATATTTCATGTATAAAAGTAATACCTTCTTTGGGTTGGGATTCTCTTAGAAAACCCAATACTTATGCCAGTGCAAAGATAGGAATATTTTAAAAAAAATCTTAGAAAATTGTGATTGACAGCAATTTCAAAGGAATGACTTCTGTAGATATGAGGAAACCCCTAAAGCAATATGGATAAGAAGGGGTGAATGGTTTTCAATGATGAACAACAACCTGGAAGTGTGAGAATGGAGGTTTCAATCCTTATTAATTAATCAATTTTCTTCTTTTGTGGTTAGTTGCAACATCTGGATTTTCTGTGAAGTGCAGTCTTGTAGGATGAAAAAGCCAAACTTCTAAGACCTGCAAATGCTCAGAAGCAGGTTTAATTTAGCAGGATGTGTTATTAATTAGGGGGTTTGGGTTTTGGTAACTCCCACTTCCAAGAAAATCAAGATCCTGATTTACCACTTGAAGAAATTTGATCAACTATTAACGATTAATCCAGGAACTCCCATTGTCACAATTTGTTTTTGTTTCCATTGTCCTGCTTATCTCCAAAACCAACTTGCCTCAACTCCTGGCTAAACCAGGGAGAAGAGTTATATGCCATTGTTAGTTCATTTACAATTTGTATCTGGTTTTGCTCTTGTACATATGTTGGCGTTTTGGAGTCTTTACATAAATGCTGTGATACTTTTTTTCTTCTTTTTATTTTTTGGTGGGCTGTTTTAAAATGGAGGCCTGTTTTCCAGTGTGGGACTTTTGATGGTTACAACATTTCAATGATGTTGCATGATGGCCACAGGTGGGGGAAATTGAATGTTTTAGAGCAGTTTTTCAAGCATGACACTTTTAAAATATGTAATTTCAAAGACTTTTCAAGGCCACGTGAAATTAGTTTTCATAGCCACTCCAGGTCTTGGGGGGAAAGCTGAAAAGTACTTTTGTTTAGAAGTCTGAGTGATGGTGGGGGGGAAACCTTTTCTTGAGGTTTTTGCATGCCAGTGCACAGCCTATTGCTGTGAGAGAAGGAAGATGGGAAGGCTGCTTGAGGCGATGCACTGGAGGACAAAGTGTTTTCTAGCACTAGAAAGAAAATGCATGGCAAAGTTTTGTCTTCTAGTAGACTATATAGCATGCAGAGTTTAGTATGTGTCAAAACAGTGTATGACATTGCTGTATCAAAGTTGTAAAATTAAGCATTATTTATTGAAAACTATGTATTTTTTTTGTAAAAACCTGATCACCTAGAGGATTAATATCAGTGACTTGTGCTAGTGCTACAAACTTAACCAGCTTCTTTACTACAGTACTTGATATGCAGTGTTAATGCTCAGGGTTGAAACCAGTCCACTCCAATGTCTTTTTTTGCAAGAGTTTTTAGATAAAGGAACAACATAATGCAATTGTTCAAAAGACTCTAATAAAATTGTGTGATCAATCTTTCTATGTGTTTTTATGTGGATCTTTTTTTTTTTTTTTTTTCCTTTTTTTCTTTTTTCTTTTTCTTTTTCTTTTTTTTCCAGTGTTGCATTTGATAAATGCAGTTCAGCTATTTTAGCAAATCCATTCTTCATTCTGTGGGCACCCAAAGCTGCAAGTCAGTGGGAATGCTGTGTCTTTCAGAAAAAGAAAAACCAAAACACAACACAAAACCCTCAACAGATACTTATGGTCAAGGCATAGAGGGTAAGTGCTGTTCTGGGCACATCTGAGAGACACCAAAACAGAAAATGAGTCAATTAACTTTTTTTCTTGGTTCATATTCTGGATAAAACAATATTTTATGCCAAGCATTTCAAATATAGCTTTAAATTTGACCATGACAGAATGAAATAAAATGGATTACATGCCAGCAAACCCCATTTCTCTCTGTATCTTTTTCTATAAGCAATTTACCATCTAAATGTATTTTGGCATAGAAAAAAGAATCATTCTGTATTAAGATTCTAGTTATGAAAATGCTTTTATGAGAACCCTGTAATCAATTCTTGGAACTATAAAAAAAGTGTTTTTAATGTGCTTATGTGGTGAAAGTTTGTTGTATATTAAATATGATTTTATAGAAACGATGGAGTTATATTGTTACGAATTAAAAATCTGCAATTAACACATTCTTTTGCTGAAACAAACCTTGCAGAACTCCTGCCTGTAGACATATTCCCACGCTCCCCCCAGAAAGTATACAAGGCTCTCTCCTGCTTGTACTTAATTTCTGTACTTCCTCAACATATATAGGGGTGACAGTATCAACTAGTAATAGCTTCATTCCCATCAGGGTGGTTGTTGGCTCATATTTACCCCCAGTATCTCAGAAATAATAGAAAAAATATTATCAACTTCAGCTGTAGCTCCTACAAACCTTTGCATTTGAGAAACATCAATTTATCAAATAAAAGGTTCCAGATCTGTTCCAGATCTTCTTGTATGAATCTTAAGCATAGCTCTTCCCATTGTCCCTGTTGTTATCACAGCAGCTGATATATTTCTTTTTCAAACAAAAACAAAACAAAAACAAAAACAAAAAAACCCCACAACAACAAAACTATTTACTGGATGACAAGTAATTATTTCTGTTTAACCTAACAAGCTTACTGAGAACGCTGAAACAACCTTTGTAATTTCAAAATTCTGGTCTAGTAATATTCTTTTT